GATCGCCCTTTGACATGTAAAATCACAGTCTACTTATGTAAATTTAATGATATTCTAGAAAGACAGTCCAAAACTGTAAAATATACAGTAAGATACTTTGACATTACTATTTTTTGGAACAGTGTAGTTCAAAAAAAGTATGTGCCGTGTGCACTGGCCCTTAGTGTGAAGAACAGGATCTTACATTCTTCTGATACTTTTTTTTATGAACAGCTTCAACCTTTAAGCAGAACACCCGCTGAGGCAAATCTTGTATCTCAGTGTTATTCACTAGTCGCTCTTTGTTTTATTACTTTAATGCTGTTATCACAGCACTCACTGTCAATTATCAGTGTGCCATTCATTATTATTTGAAAAGCACACTGAACTTATCACATTGCTCTAGCCGTATCATCACATTTGCCCATAGTGTTTCCTGTTATCCATTCCCAAATGGCCTTTTGAAAGTCAGTCCTGTTGTCGTACCTTTATTTTCTTTTGAGTTACCTATCTCGCTGTTCTTGGAGTTTAACACCATAAAATCATATTATTTCATTTAAATCAGTGTTTAACTGTTCATGTCATTTCTCTCTTTGCCATATAACACTGATGCAATTAAAGTCCATGTATTTCAATCTAGTAAGCCCTGGACGGCAAGTTTATAGGTTTATCTCTGTGTGTAACTCATATAAGGAGACTGAATCCAGTAATTTAGGGCTTTACCCACTGACATCATGTAATCCTTCCCTGGATAACTCTATTTTTCTCTGTTATTTCTTTGTGATGTTTATAGCATTAATTTTTTTTATCAGCATTATCTTTTTAATTTCTTACATGGGTCTTTTAACTCTCAGCAATAACTGGATTCATCATACTTAACTGCACCCACAAGTCCAAACTAATAACATCGAGAAATAATGAATACCTGCAACTAACTGACTGATTATAGCTCCACTTGACACCAGTTCTAATATCTCACAATAAGTTATTCAAAAAACAAAACAAACAAAAACAAAATACTACAGACAATCAATATCGATATCAATCAAAGAGAAAGAAAACATGAAACTGAAAACTCTCATCTTGATCATGTGATTAAATCAGTAGATTGTATATGTTTTTAAGAGATCAGAGTCTCAGAAGCTTGGGCAGTTAGATTGAATTTTGTGCGTCTGTATTCATATGGAATAACATGTCACTGCAATTCTTTCTGGAGGCGCACAGATGGATGTGCACATAACCTCAGGATTTGAGTTACAATTTTGCAAAGCGAAAGCATAGCCAATATAGTAGAGTACATGACCCCACAGGATGTTAGTGCCAACTCTTATTACAACATACTGTAGTTATACTTGAGTGACCTGTAGCATTTGTGTGAATAAATTCCTTTAAATTACACATAAGTGTCATCATTTTGGTAAAACTGAAAACGGTGAATCGTGTAGTTAACATTATAGAGCAGTATATTTGAACAGAAACAGAAGTGAGCTCTAAAAGTAAAATGAATCAATTTTTGCTTCCACAGAGACTATGATTCACATATATATCTATCTCTCTCTCTCTCTCTCTCTCTCTCTCTCTATATATATATATATATATATATATAGCAAATACTAGCAAATAGACAGAACATGAAAAACAGAAAGTCTAAATGGTCCCTGGACAGGATTTGAACTTTTGACTTGCTTCTCAGGCCATATTTGAGCCAACCAGTCACCCGTCAGCTCACCTGTTTTGGCTATTGAGATTGGATGACTTGTTCACCACAGCCACTTTTTATTAACCACCACGTGTACAGACTGTATTACAATATTAGAAAGTCTCCTCACAAGATTGGCTCTTGATTAATTGGTCATTTGCCTTTATGCTCTGTAATATAATTGGCGTTTTACAGAAGACAATCAATCATTTCACTTTGTTATTTATTCTAGAGCCATTTGGGGCTTTCTTTATTAAGTGAGCCAAGCATTGTGGAAGACATTATAGAGTCATATTCCAACAGATTCAACAGATGGCATTAAAATGCCATCACTGATGGTGCTGAAAAGCAGCCAAGTGGCCATCATGGATACAAGGAAGATGTTGTTATTGGGTCTGAGTTACAGTGTGATAAAATGGAAATATACTGTTTATATAGACCTTGTTTACTTGCTTAAAATTTCAGTTGCATTTTATTGATGGAAAACATCATCTTCACCAACCTGAAAACAATTTATAGATTCTGTTTGCTTCATCGACTGTCAATCATTAGTTGTGCTCTTTTCTTGTGAAAATCCTTCACTGGCAAGCTAGAAGAGACAGGGTTGGGTCTTCGACAAGTCTTTGTTTTACCAGGTTCATTTTGAGGTGACTGCATTCAAATTTAGCCCATTTCCTTAAATTTAAACAACAACATTAATTCTTAACCTTATGCAGCACTGTGCAGGAGTCTTGAACGGCCACTAGTTTCTTTATATTTTGCTTCCAATCAGTCAGTGCTCCAATGAGCAACAGTTCTCCTTTTCTGAAGATTTTTCAAAGTTTTTTCTTTGGAAATTGACTGAATCATGATACAGATACCATATCTGAAATTCATGTCATTAAGAAAAGGGCGGAAAAATCCATCAAAGACCTGGCAGAATCTGATAGATGCATCTAGATCTTTAGATAATCACTCTACTGTTTACTGCACAGTCATGCCAAATTACACAAAAACTGGACTAGCAAGAGGTCTTGTAAAATAATGAATTCAAATTTGAAATGTTTGGGTCAAATCATCAGTGAGTGTCAACAGTGAGTTTCTTCAGCTATTTGTAAAACACGATTAAGGCTTGGTCATTGTATGGGGCTGCATTTCAGACAGCGGTCTTGGGGATCTTGACAGAACTGATGAATTATGAAAACTGAAAAAGAGCATCGGATTTTGATCCACCTGACATTGAATGGAATAAAACACAGCCAGCATCCAAAGAAGAGCTCTGAATGACCTTCCAGAAGCCTGCAGAACTGTTATTGATGATATTGATTAATAGAGTTCAGGCTTTGTTGAAAACACTCAAGCTCTGTTTTTATCTTTCCAATGGTTTTTTCCTTTTTCCTTTTTTTTTTTTTTTTGCATGTTTCAATAAATCATCAAGCCCATTTCCCATTTTCCTAGCAAACTCTAAAGAAACAGGGGTGGCTCAAGACTTTTACACAGTACTGTCAGTCAGTATGAACATGAAATATGCATGTTACCATGAATTTATGAATGACACTGTTCCTTTCAGTTATTCTTTATATATTCCTGGAAACCTCTAACACTGGACTTTCCTATTTTCTCCTCCAAGGTGTCCAATTCACTTTTCACTCCTTCCACCTGGAGGATCACCATGACTACCTTCTGATAACAGAAAACGGCAGCTTCGCTCAGCCACTCGCTCGCCTGACTGGCTCTGAGAGGCCTGCACCAATTAATGCTGGTCTGTATGGGAACTTCAAGGCCCAGCTACGCTTTATTTCTGACTTCTCCATATCGCTGCAGGGATTCAACATTTCCTTCTCAGGTATGAGTCCATATGGGGGCTATGTCTGTAGAAGGAATGCAGGTGGGAGTCGTGGTAGGGCAGGAAAGGTTTTAGCAGAGGATGGAGGGTTGTGTGGAGGAGGCAGAAAAGAGGACTAAGGGTAATTAAAACTAGGGGGTAGATTGCAAAAGTGAAAAGCAGTCACAGGCACGTGGAAAGAGACAGTTCTTTCATTGATGAGATCAAAAGCACTAAGCCTCTCTAAAGCGTGCATAAAGTAACATAAGGAGTGATTTGTCGGTCAGCAGGCTTAAGACAGACCATGCCTCGGGCCTGCGTCAGTCAGAGAAGGATAATTAAGAGACAACAGGGTCATGCAGGTAGAGGGTGTCTGATCGTGAGGAGAATGATCATCAAAGCATTGCATGTGGACCAGTCTCCCGGGGACTGAAGACGGCAGAAGGAGAAGGAGGTGTGTACAGAAATAATGGGCCCCCCATATCGATGGTAAGAAATGGAGAATTAAACAGCCGTAGATACACGGTTTAGAGAGCTAGATAAAGGGACAGAAAGGAGACGAGACAGATGGTGATGCTGAGTGTGCAGGTCTCATAGAGAAGGTCGGATAAAGAGTGAGAGAAGAGAGTGAGACAGAGAGAGAATAGCAAGGTAGAGAAGCCTTGTTTCATGAGCATCCGGGTTAAACGTTTGCCTGCTGTTCACTGAAGTGAGACATAGCTTATGAATCCATGAATATTCATGAAACGTAATTTGTGAATACATTTTTGTCTTCTTTCATGCTCTGCAATTAGCATCTATATAGTTCATTATTAGAATTCGTTTTTTAACCTTTTATGACCTTTAATGAACGTCTGCCAAGGCCATCATTCTACATCCTACACTTGATTGCTGCTTTAATGTTTTGCGGTGCTGAAATCAATAGGCTCCGTATAGTTCTGCATACTGCCAGATACAGACCGTGAGAGAAATGCTGATGGGAGTAAGACCTTTTTCCTCTTACTCCTGGGCTGCATTTTCTCAAATTATAAGGCCACCAGCAGCCCCATGTGTAAAAATATTTCACTGAGACTGGCCTAGTTTTTAGAGAGCTCATTCTTTATCCCGACAACCTGGAATCAAACGTTTGGCTTCCCAGCCTGATGAAGATTCCTTTAGCAAGACAGGTAATCCCCACAAACTACAGTGTTGCTTTGCCTAAACATGTCGTCTTTTTTGATGGAAGCAAACAAGAAGACTGGGAGTTATTTTCAAAAGAAGCAATAGATAGAGGATTCGTAATAAATTTTTGTTGTCTTATTTGCAGAGTATGATCTTGAACCTTGCGAGGACCCTGGAACGCCTCGGTACGGCTGGCACACGGGCTCCAAGTTTGGCATTGGCGACTCTTTGTCGTTCTACTGCAATACGGGCTATCGTCTGCAGGGGGCAAGGGAGATTGTGTGCCTGGGAGGTGGGCGCCGCATGTGGAGTGCCCCTCTGCCAAGGTGTGTGGGTACGTGGTCAACTGCTTTTATTCTGTTTCCGTTCTTGTTTATGTATGTGTTTATGCAACTAGCCAGTGTCAGCTTTTAAAATGTATTCAACACAGATGTAAACTTTCTTATTTGACATTTAAGAACCCAGCAGAATTGGATTTATGTAAGTAGACTACAGTTAAAAGGACAGACCTGTGATTAACTGAAGTGAGCTGCTGGGTTAAACTATCTAGGGACATCTCCTTTTTACTCATGAAGGCTTAAAGGCAGGTCAGTTACATTCACATTTCAAAAGGTTACTGTAGGGATTTAGTCATTGTGATAGTGTACCTAGCATGTTTTTGACTTTGACCTGGTCTTGTGTCAGACTTAAAGACTAAAAGTGTCAGTGCATTTGTTGCATGATAAATGCCATGTTCTGATGTCCCTGTCTTTGAAAGTCTGGACTTTTTTTTCTGTACAAGTTAATTGTGGTTAAGTAATTTTCTGCTATTTAGCCCAGGCAGCAAGGCCAGTGAATGTTGCTACATTAAATATTAATTATTTAAAAGTCTAATCTATGTTTCATAATGTGTCTGTCTCAGTTAAAAAATGATTTTCACGAGTTAAGGTAATAAAAAGGGATGGACACTTTCTCATTTAAGTAGAATGTGTGAAATATACTTTTATCTTGTTAGGAAAAAGCTAATGAACCAGTTTTATGGTGTCTATTAATTTTCGTGAACGTATTCCTAATATGTTTAAGCAGGTCATATTGCTGTGTAGCTGATTGTGTCTGTTGTCTGCATGTTGTTGTTGGGTTTTTTTTGTTTGCAGCTGAGTGCGGTTCAACAGTCTCCAACAACGAGGGAGTTCTTTTGTCCCCCAACTATCCAATGAACTACGACAACAGCCACGAGTGCGTGTACAGCATTCAGGTCCAAACAGGAAAAGGCATCAACATCACTGCCAGCACCTTTGAGCTTGCTCAAGGTGATGTTCTCAAGGTAAGCAAAGCAGTCGCTCAACTTTGCTGACACAAAGTTGATAAGCAACTTCAGTTTTGTGTCATTTTTAAAAATTGATGTTCAAGTATGCAAGCAAGGTCTTGATACTTTTTATTATTTGCAAAAAAAAGGATTCCATGGGGAAAAAATGCAGAATTGTTTTGTCTTAGACGTCTGAAGGTCACGTGACAGCATCAGCAGCATTTGCTCATGGGCATTTTTAACAGATTTGATAAGCACCACACATGTAATGAAAGTGGCTGTGTTGTTCCCACCTCACGGCTGGAGTGCACTATTTATTTATATATAGTTTTTAGATGCAGATGTTTTGTTATTAGTCCAAAGCACTGTGGACTAGTATCTGTATCCATCTAGTAATGCAGCTGTATAGTCTCTTGTACTCAGTCATCTCGGGAATATCTCAAAAGTGGAAAAACATCTTCAGAGAGGTAGATTACCTTTAAGAAATGGAAAAACAAAACAGAGTCCTTCTGTAGCGTTTCAAAGGAAAAAACACAGAGCCTTTTGTTTTTCATTTTTTATTGTTTCACAGATATCAGTCAGGGAAGCATGCTTCTACTTAAAATCATTCTTTCACAAAATAATAAACAAGTAAAGAAACACAACATCAAAGAAAGATCCAATTTCAAACTCATGTTTCTAAGAGCCTTGAAAAGCAGTGGAAAGAGTCAACTGCCTGCCTTAGCCTGAAAATAAGTAGTTAATTAATAAAGAACATTTAATATTTGGTGAATATTTGTTAAAATATTTCTACTTTTTAAGGGTATTAATTAAAAAGACAAGTTATTCTTCCAGACCATCTGTCCCGAGCCTTGTTAGCTAAGCTCTACAGATATACTCTCAGATCAATGGAATGAATTATGGATGCTCCTTTCTTCATTATCTCATTTTATTTAGGACATTGGCTTGGCAATAGAGATGTCATATAAAATCGGATATATGACACTAATAGCTTCTTTTTAATCGTTGCTGTCTTACTTCAGTATTAATTTTTAATTCTTAATCAAAGCAACAAAACACTCCCTCATGTTCCTTTGTGTCTCCGATTAGCTGTATGACGGTAAAGATGGGGCAGCGGCACTGCTTGGCACATACACGAGCACGCTGATGCAAGGTCTGTCCCTTACCAGCACTTCCAACTATCTGTGGCTTGAGTTCTACTCTGACCACGAGAAGACGGCTGCAGGTTTCCGGCTCATATACCACAGTAAGTCACATTTCATTTCCCTGGGGGAGGAGGGCCCTAAAGCTTTTCCAAATGAGTGAATTTAGCCTCACTTCGGGAGCCAGGCATTTGAAGTAGCAGAATTTGAAAGAAAATTTTAATTGACCCTCACCCCGCTTCGCTGTGTCTTTCACTGTCAGGGTATCCATTAAACACAGCATGGTGTTTCTGCTCCACTCCAGCAGGAAAATTGGCTTTTTTCTTTCTGTCCTTTCTCAACCTCTGTCTCTCTCCATGTGAGTCTTCTTTCTCTCTTTTATTTTGCTCTCCACTTCTGCAATTAGCGTCCTTGCTTGCCTAACTGTACCTTGTTAAAGCAGGTGAATTATTGTTAGGACTGTTTGAAGTCACTATGCTGCTGTTTGCGGTTTGTGTGTGTTGCCAGTTTGTATTTGCATGCACTGCATAGGGTGTGTGTGTACAAATCCACAAGTGCATGTGCGCATTAAAAGTTTCGGTCATTGCTGTAAGGGGGGCAATAATAGATGGGGTTTTCTCTCCCCCCTAATTGGCTTGCTGACTGTGTGTTGTTGCTAACCATTTCTAATTTATTACTGTGAAGAGAGAATGTTTTGGCGACACTGCATTTTGCCATCCAATTTAAAGTGTTTTTGTCTTTCACCTGCAATTGTGTGCTCATTGAGATCTCTGAAATCTTTTGGTCTACCAGTAAGGTTTCTAATGTAGAATTCAAGAGAGTAGTTAGGATGAAGTTCTGGTTTTCACTTTTGATCAGTTTTAAACTTTTGAATGGTTTGAAAATAATAATAATGAAAAGGTTTTTTTTTTTGATAACTCACAGTCCCTACGTCTTCAGCTTTCACTCTATGATAATGGCGCCAAATGTGCAAGGTACAACTGGTAATAGATATAAGAGAAACGTTTTAACAGTTTTGCTGTAAGATTCAGTTTGGCATTAGTTGTGAAGGGTTTGAGGATTCGGAGCCTGACAGATCTGCAAAAATGAAAAGAAAATGTACATTAATCAGGAATGTGGGTTCATTTGCAACAGCAAAATAAATTGCCATCTGTATCTAAATTAGTTGTGAAGAAATGGCTTGATTACAGGCTTCCTTTTGAGTTACAGCATACCCCATAATTAATTATCACATAATTGGATTTCGTTTGTGATATTTTTTCTTATCCATGGATGCACACAAGGTAAATGGCACAATGTAAGCTGTATCTCTCAAGTGCAATCATTTGAGCCAAAATGAAAAGGGCTTTTTTTTTTAAATGTAAGGAGAACTGAGTGATGTATGAGCAGCAAGGGGGCAAGGGGAAGGTGGGATATGGTCAGTTTAAATCTTGTCAGAACATGAAATCTTATCATGTTTTCATGACTCCTTCCAAAAGTGCTGAGGTAATTTCCTAAATGTGAGCGGTAACTGCTGGAGATTTATACTGGGCATGACACTTGTAATACTACCATAACATCTGGCATGGGCACGGACCTCGCTGTGAGACGAGACCATAAATCAGCACTGCTGGGTTTATGTGCGGCCACTCTTGCTGCATAGCGGAACACTTTAGTACCTAAAAGAGAGGAACAACATATGAAGGCCATATTCAAGCATGCTGAGCTAAAGATTTATCACATTTTCTTGTTTGTGGCTTGTTTAATTTCCTCTCCCCAAGCGTTCCAAGTGGATGGACTGTTTCTCAGTCATAGCAAATATCCACACTCAATTGAACATTTAATTACGAATGCCTAATTAGGGTCTCTGTCCAAAGGAAATCTTTTATTGCTGGTAATATAATGGGACTATAAACCCTCATCTGTGCCCAACGGGAAATCGATACTCAAAGCTAAATCCATACCTCTTTAGAGTATAGATAAATGAGTACTGGTTCATCGAATGACAGTAGACTTTGTTACATAGTACTGTGTTACATTCATGCGTTGGTTCTTATCATCACCCTATGCTATTCTTCTTCTTTCTTGTCTAGGTTTTGAGCTGTCCCACTGTGACGATCCAGGTGTGCCACAGTTTGGCTTCAAAATCAGTGACCAGGGTCACTTTGCTGGAGGTGCCATCACGTTTGGCTGTGACCAAGGTTACACTCTGCACGGCTTTGGCATGCTAAAGTGCATGACTGGTGAAAGAAGAGCGTGGGACAACCCTCTTCCTTCATGTATAGGTAATCCTTTTTGCCTGAGTGCTGAATTTTTTCCTGTTCTGTCTGTCTAGTTATAGATAATAAGATAATAATAATAAAAGCTACAAACAGTGGGGTCTCCATTCTATGTGCCATAGTCCAGACGATGGAGACCCCACTGTTTGTAGCTTTTATTATTATTCAGAACAGCCACTGCTCAGCTAGGTGTTAATCCAAAGGATTTATCCCAACATGATTTGTTCTTAATTGAACTTTGCTGAAAGAAAATACGCCGCTTGTCATTTGGTAAGAGAATTTAAATGGCTTTGATGTTTTCTTGTGAATAATGGATCTGTGTGTGTGTGTGTTTTGGATGCAGAACTGGCTGTATGGAATGATTACGAACACTATAGTGTTATAGTGTATAGGATTGCTATTGAGCTTTCGCTGTGTTGCCGTACCCCTTTCGTCCAATGTTTGATTCGACTGTTTTAATCCCCCAGCAATTAATCTGCGTTTTTCTACAAGTAAAGGAATAATTATCGTATCTTTTTGTGTCATATCGAGACTTGGACATAAAACACAGTCCTGGCTGTACTTTCATATTCAGAACATGCTGAGACGGAAAGATAGAGAAATGATAAAGCTATTACCTGCACGCTGCTCGAGTCTGGAAGGTGTTGTGAAGCAGTGTCTGTTCCTTGATGTCTAGCGGTGATGGATTAGGGTAAAAGATGATTTACAAATTCCGGACGTGTGCAGAATTGCACTTTTAATGCCAATGCTTTCCACTGCTGGAGCATTTCTTCTTTATGCCATTGTGATATTTCTAAAACAACCGCAATGAGTAAATAAATAGATGTACTGATTAACTGGATAACAGTGCCGTGTCACTGAGTGATCAATATTAATAGTTAGCTTTGTATTTGTGAGCTGAGGTGAAATGGCATTTCCATTCATTTCTCCAGAGCCACATCCTCATTGCCATCAAGGTCTTTTACATCTGCCCGGCATAATGATACCGATTATAGCCCACCAATGTAGTGATCTAATGCAATTTTCCTATTAATTAAGTGGCGTTTATTATGTAATATAGATAGCAAGACAATAACCAAGGAAGTAGATTGGATGATAAGATATCCGTTCAGTTATTAACGTTTGCAGCAGTGTCATTCCTGCAGCGTATAGCCTGGCCTCTATAGTCTTTTTAACCAAATTAATGAATCGTTAGGAAGCAAACATGTTTTGTATCTCTGAGTTTCTCTGCTTAGACAGGAAGCCGCAGTCTCATTACCTGTTAGGAATGTTCGCTGTGGCTAAGCTTAAATTTTTGCTCATTGTACCCTCAGAGCTGCAGTGAGCTGGCATCTGTTTTGTTTGTTAGTTGGTGTGTGTGTGTGTGTGTTTAACTTATGCACATTTTTTTGTCTGTGGAAGAATCTTGATTTTGTATTGTGCAAGTTTTGTATTTGTGCTTCAGTATTTCTGTGTGTGTTTGTGTGTGTTTGTGTGTGTGCGCATGCAGCGGAGTGTGGTGGCAGTTTTAAGGGTGAGTCTACTGGGCGTATCCTTTCTCCTGGCTATCCCTTCCCCTATGACAACAACCTGAGATGTACCTGGACAATTGAGGTCAATTCTGGCAACATCGTCAGGTAACTCCGATGTCTACATATACATGCATGTACTGCATATTTAGGATAAATGTAATTTTGTTTATTTTCTTTATATTGTGCTACATGATTAATAACGTTTGTATTAATAATTTTCGAGTTGTTGTTAATTAAGATGTGCAGGAATTTGTCAAAATATGCAAATTATTCATGAAATGGATGGTGAAAGAGAAATGATGATTTAAAATGAACTAAGCAGAGCATCCAGTGGACTATATGTGTGTTAACGTTAGAAGGATTTTAACAGCAGTTTAAATATATACAAGGAAATTGCCTAGAACTAAACTGTGGGGAGATGATTTAAATGCATCATAAATTAATGGAGGTCAGATAACTTGCCCTGACTTCAAAGGACTTAAAGATGAAAACATCCGTAAAATGTTTGCATGAGATGTTGTAATGTGCAGTTAAGATTTTGAACATGAAGAACTCGCCTCTCAAGTTAGATGTCATCAAGAAAAACGGCCTGCAGGAGCTCCATTAACAATGATTGTGTGAGGGACTTTGTAGACACTGTGACAGCACCCAGAGGAATATTACTGGGACATGGAAGCTTTTTTTTTTTCCTTCTTTTGTTTTGGCTGAGAGCTCCCACTATTACTGTGAAATAAAACCGATTTGGGCTTAGAGGTCGAAGTAAACATGATATGATTTCATAAAGTCAACCACACATTCTCTGGGAGATGAGCTGCTTCGGGCCATCTCTTGATGAGATTGCAGATAAGTCTGTGGTCTCATAGTGTAATTCTGACTTTAGAAGAAGTTGATTGATGATAGCAAATCTCAGCTAAAATGCCCAAAAGCAAAGGGACATTGTTTCTAGAATTAATTGAATCTTGCTAAGTTCAACACCTATTTGGTGCCCCAGCTTGAGGGGTTTTCATTGTATTTGCAGTGTACGATGAATGCAAACTTCATTTACGTCAGTACAAAAAGAGAATATGAGAATTTATTTAATGTTAACTCATTCTAACCATATGTAAGCTAATAGAGAGTTTGCATATGGTCAGCGATAGAGACTTGCGGTGAACTAAAACCAAACTATGCCAACAGTCTTTTGTGTTCACCTCTTTCAGCCTCCAGTTTCTTGCATTCGACACAGAGGCATCCCATGACATCCTGAAGGTTTGGGATGGGCCTCCTGAGAATGAAATGTCTCTGAAGGAAGTTAGTGGCTCACTGCTGCCTGAAGGAATCCACTCGACTCTCAACATCGTCACCATTCAGTTTGAGACTGATTTTTACATCACCAAGTCTGGCTTTGCCATTGACTTCTCAAGTGAGTGTATATCCTGCGAGCTACATAGCTATGTGGTAGTATATATTGCTTTTTTGCTTGATCTCAATAACAGTTTCTGCAAAGAGTTGAGAATAGTGTGATTAATTCAATGTACAAGTATGTTGTTTACCGCTGCCTAATGTCTTGCTGAGCAGATCTGTATAAGGATCATCACACAAATGCAGTGCATGAAAGGAGTATGCTGAAGCCTCTTTCTCTGTTGACTTCTAATAGATTCCCAAATATTGTTCTTTTCCATTTGTGTCTTATGGATCTCTCAGAATAATTTGTAATAATGTCTTGATGAGCAGTGAGAGTCTCTGATATGTTACACTTCACTGCTGACTGTCTGCTATGCAGTATTTGCTGCTGTGACATAATACATTTGCTTTGCTGATGACTACTTTCAAAACTAAGCATCTGGAAGCAAACTGAAAATGAAACAACATGCATGCCAAATATGATGAGCTTGTAATGTTTTTGTTTTCTTTAGCATACAGGCAGCCTAATACAAAAATCAATTATATGGGATTCACTGCACTGCGCTGCAAAATGGAACTGATTCTGCAGACAAGCTGTACTTAAATACGCTGCTTGCCTCAGGCTGGTGGTTTTCAGAACTGAATGCGAGTAATAGGGAAGGGATGATGGGAACAATAGTCATGTAGGATTTCATTAAGAATATATTACCTTAAATAAAAATGTAAGCAAGAAATCACTCCCACTATCAAATTAATGTGGTAGTGAGAGTTTCCACCAGGCACTAAGATGAAGAACAAAATCTAACCCATAAAAATACCGTGGAAGATTTTTTTATATTGGATTTTGATTTAATTTGCTATGTCTCAGACTATACGGGCATCAGTTAGCATGTTCATCATAGTACAATTAGAGAAACATTGAACAAGCGTGGCTTATTTAAAGCAGAAAGCATCCTGCAACATGGCAGCACAGCTGGACAGATGAGACTAAAAGTAGAGATGCTTGTCTATAATGCACAGCAACACATTTGGTTGAAGCTCGTTAGGTCCCCATCCCAGGGGTAAACTAGACATCTAACATGCAGCTAACATGAGACTCTACCACTCCCAAGAAAAAGCCTGCAGCACATAACAATCCAAGATGCTGAGCAGCAGTTTATTCACTTCAGAGGTAAGCATTGCCAAAATGACTAACAGAAGTTTCTTATTGTTCCTAATGTTCCCTAAAACAAAATAAAAGGCAAACAGTCAACAATTCTTTAACCTGTACTCCTAAGCAATAAACAAGAGAAAAAGGATTTCAACAGAAAGAGATTCTCACTCCTACTGAACTGCTCACTGTGTGCATATGTGTATAATTATTTACAGTTTACAATTTACAAAGACTGTTTATTCAAGGCTTTTAGCTAACAACCCA